TGTTTCTACCATGCACGTTTTAAAAGGCTATATTTTCATTTGTACTTTATCAAAAAAAAATTACAGTTTTTTTATATATGAAACATTTAAACATTTTTAATTTATTTATTTTATGCCCACAATTTTATTTATTGAATTGTCTATTTTTGTTATTATATTTTTGTGTTGATAAGCCTGAGTGGTCTGTTGACTGACGGTTGTATTTGTTCAAATAATTGTTATAGGCAGGTTACAATATAAAAATGTTTGTCATAATCATGTCTTGTGATTATTTGACAGGAGTTTCACTTTTAAAATGTAAGTGTATTTAATTTAGATACAAYGTAAACACAATAAAACTTAAGCCAAGATTTATAATAATTATTTTGATCCATACATTGGTAATGTCGKACTGGGCYTYGTGCCACTTTGTTTGATAAATTGGGCTCMGAGGTCAAAAAGGTTAAGAACCCCTGGTTTAGTTGATCCTGAAACCTACAGAAATGYTAAAACTTAGTTTAGATTAATGTCTGAGAAACATGTTGAATACTTACAGACGTTTTCTTTATCGCACATTGTGACTTCTTTCGTCTCAGCTTCCATCGAAGGCTCAGAGCAAATGCCGATGGGTCGCATGGTAAAGAAGATCCTGGAGAAAGAAGGCTTCTTTGGACTTTACCGTGGCATCCTGCCCAATTTTATGAAGGTCATACCAGCTGTGAGCATCAGCTACGTGGTGTACGAGTACTCACGCTCTGCCCTGGGTATCCACAAGTAGGCAAGCAAAGCCGTCCATTTCCACCAGTTTATTTGATTCATTTTTTTATTTTTATTATTCCAACAATCCTCCCTTCTTTTGTCTTTCTTTTTAAATAAGCCGTTTACCCAGAGATCACCTAAGTTTAAACTTAAATGGATGCAAATGGAGCCACCCGTGTAGTTCTAAAAGTTATTTAAAACTGTGCTGCGCTAACATGGGTGTTCCAAATGCATGTTTTTAAAAGCAGGTTGTTTACAAGGAAGCCACGGCTTTAAACACACAGACACACCTGTGGTGAARAGTTAAATCACATCAGAGGGTACATTTTGATTTAGATGGAAAATGTATTTTTATATCAAACTCTTCATGTAACAAACATCACAAAATGCACCTTATTTGTATCCTGATGGAAAGTTAAAGCCACCACCTGCTGTTTTTTTTAAAGCTAATTAAACCAAAAATATAAAAAGTCATATTATTCCACAATTTCATACCTAATGATTATGTGTCACCAGGGAATAATCAGAAATTTGAGGGGAAAAAAGTGCAATAATAAAGCAGATATACCTTTACAGAAATGCAGATGTTCCTTTATGCTGTTGCACATCTGGTAAAAAAGAAAAGAAAAATGTGCCTTACGTGTTTTTCTCAGATATTTGTGGATTCTGCTTCCTCCCCGTTTTCTTGCCTTGCTTTCCTAAATTTGGTTCATGGATGATGGTGTTTACATTAATAAACCATTTACAAAACAATGAGTACATTTTTTAAAACATATTTGCTATTTGTTATGTAACAGAYTTGCATGATTTTTGAAATTCCTGTAATGTTCCCTTTTATTAGCTTGTCCCACCACCCAGTGTGGTTGACCCCCTCTAGGCTCTAAGAAGAGATTACTCCACTTTGGATGTTGCATAATAACCTTTTCCTCTGAGTAATCCCAACTGTGTGGATACACCGAATAATAATAGATCAGCTTATCTGTTGAGGAAATAGCTTTTTGGGCAAATGGCTTGTTAAAAATACAGTATAAAATTTCAGTTTATTAGGTGATAAAATTATGTATTTGTGGAGTTTTCAGTTGTATTCAATTAGTTTAAGTTGTCAAAAGTTTCAGTATATTTTACTGGTTCTCTCAAACTTGTTGCTATATCGTATCAGCTGTAAGGATATCCGACTGATCTGCTCCAGTTCCACTAGATCCACTCTTATGCAATTCCTAGAATTTATAAGACCTTGCTTATTCAAAAAAAAAATCAAGGTTTACACATTTAATTTTCTACATTAMGACTTATAATAGGACTTGACGTAGAAAACAATTAGACTAAATAAGAATTAACACTTTATTTGAACACATTATTTGTCTTTGCCAAAACCAAACAGGACAAACATGATGTAATGTAGGGTGTTATTTGTTATAAAAAAAAAAGGGGAACACACACAGCTACTTTTGTTTTTGTGTTTTCTATCTGCAGGAATAAATTTGGGGCATGTTTACATGAAAAACAAATTCCTTAAATCATAAAAATTTAAAGGAGCCAAAAGCCTTACAGAAGAAATCTGTAGTCCACGTCAGAAAAAGTTCTTCTCTGGATAAACACCGTTCAGTGTGAGCGTACCAAGCAGAGAAAGGAACGCCACGATGGTAAGAACGGTGCGCAGGGCTTTAAACCAGCTGGGGTAAGTYGGCAGCAGAGACAGATCGTAATGCAGGGCGATTCCAAGTCCCATGATGGCCATGGTGATTGCGGGAATAATGGTGTCGCACATCAACATGGCTATCGAGGCGAACAGGGCAGGAACCACACTGTTGGCCAGGTTTATCCAGTCAGGTTTGGCCGGGCTGCACTCAGGAAGCGCAAACCCCCACCGAGCTCCGCCCAGGAAGGAAACGATGGAGGCGGCATACGCTAACTGAGCGTAAACCAGGTCCGGGTAGTAGGTCTCAGTTGCAGCCATTAAATAAGTCGGGCAGACAAAAGGGATGAGCCCAGCAAACCCCAGGATAAGGGCGGGTTTGGGCCCCTTCCACAAGTGCTCCATGTCATAGCGAACCAGGCCTAGTTGTCGGGGAGGGGGTTCGGGCCGCGCACGCTTCTTCAGCTTCACTGCAGAACAGCTGAAACACTGACCCCTCACCTCAAACAAAGCGCTAAGCGTTGGCGTCCGGAGGAGTCCACTGGCACGAGGAGGTTTTACGTGTCCAGAGTCCCTCTTTGAGGAGCAGGAGAAAGCAGATCCACCAGAAGCTCCTGTCAGGGTCGAGGTCCAGCATCTCTGGGGAGGGTGTGCCCATTGCAAAACCTACAAATAAATTCATGTTCAACTTAAAAATATACATTTAGCTTTGAAAATATATTGATATGGGAGCAATTTAGTTTTTTTTAATAGGGTTATGGGAATTWGTTTGTTACCCTCTGGGCTGCAAAAGTGCTTCTTCTTAATACAGCAGACAGCATCTACAGGAAAAATAAAAAACACAAAATATACTGGATCATAAAGTGCAGACTACTATCATGCAACAATAAATACTGATATAAACAACATATTTTGTTAGAAATGGTTTAAAATTTGTAAAACGTATGAACCAGAAATGACWAAATACAACACTGGCTAAACCTGAAAACACGCTAACAAGTAGCAGAAACCATCGTAACCCAACTAAAATTACTGCATTTAATACATTTATACTCCATAAATATAAACACACGGTATTTGCCTTAGTATCAGATCGAAAAACTCATATTTTCCTTCCAGGGTCATCCGTAATCTGCGAGAGCTAACTGGTACGCGGTTTAAGCCTTCCGGGTTCATTGACGATCAGAACAATAGTTCCGTGACGAAAACGATCCGCTTCGATTAACCTTTCAATGAATTAATAATTMTAAACTCTGTTATGCTAATAGATGAGTGAGGAATGAATGCATGAATTAGTGTGCAAAATATAATAAATTAGAAGCAATACGTTACTTTAAACCAAAGCTTTGTTTGGAGTGCCAAAAATGAAAGTCACGTGAAGTCAATGTAGAAAAGAAAAGAAAAGAAAAGAAAAGAAAAGAAAAGAAAAGAAAAG